TAGAAGAGGTCGTGGCACTAGGGATATCATTGCTGATGTCAGACAGATCCTGGCTGAAAGTAAGGAATACCAGAAGAATGTCTATTTGTGCTTTATTGACTGTGCAAAGGCATCTGACTATGTGGATCATGACAAGTTGTGGCTAACATTGAGAAGAACAGGAATCCTAGCGTACTTGATTGCGCTCATGAGGAACCTATATGCTGTTGTGCAAACAGAGTAAGGGGAGTACTGCATGGTTTAGAATTGGGGCGGGAGTACGTCAAGGATGTATTCTATCTCCATACCTGTTCAATCTACATGCTGGGAAAATTATCCGAGAAGCGGGACTCTGGATTGGAGGGAGACTCATTAATAACCTGCGTTATGCAGATGACACAACCTGGCTTGCTAAAAGTGAGGAGGACTTGAAGCATTTGTTGCAGAAGACCAAGGAATGCAGCTCAATATCAAGAAAACAAAGATTTTTATCACTGGACCAATAGGCAGTGTCATGATGGATGGAGAGGAGATTGAAACTGTAAACAGCTTCACCTTGCTTGATCCACAAGTAACACCCTTATTACAAGCAGTCAGCAACTAAGGAGACACACTGCAATGGGAAAATCTCTAGATTGTTGTTGTCGTTAAGTGCCTTCGAGTCGCCTGTGACTCATAGCGACCCTACGTACAACAGCCCTAAACTCCGCTCTGTCCTGTGCCAATCGTACTGTGTCCGACACTCCCATCCCAATTATCCCAGTCACTGAATCAATCCACCTCATAGAGGGCCTTCCTCTCCTGCGCCGTCCCTCCACCCTCCCAAGCATGATGTCCCTCTCTAAGGACCGGTCTCTCCTCACTACATGTCCAAAGTATGTTAGACGGAGCCTCAGAATCCTTGCCTCCATGGAGCTACCCGGTTTAACCCTCTCCAGGACAAATCTGTTTGTTTTCCTAGGAGTCCATGGTATTCTCAATACTCTTCTCCAGCACCACAGCTCAAAGGCATCAATTCTCCTTCTATCCTCCCTGGTCATTGTCCAACTCTCTGATGCATAACAAGTGATTGTGAAGACCATGGCCTGTATCAGACACACCTTAGTCTCCAGAGAAACACCATTGCTCTTCAGTACTTTGGAGAGGTCCCTAACAGCAGACTTTCCCATGGCAATGCGCCTTTTAATTTCCTGGCTGCTGGTGCCAAGACTGTTGACTATGGAGCCAAGCAAACTAAAGCTGTGTACAATCTCAGTCTCTTCACCATCCATCCTGATGCTGCTAATTGATCCAGTGGTGAGAATCTTTGTCTTCTCGACATTGAGCCTCAATCCATATTGTTGAGGAGTAGTGATGTCAGTCTGAGGACTAAGGTGCATCTGATTCAGGCCTAGGTCTTTCTGATTGCTAGCTATGCATCTGAGACCTGGACAATGAATAAGGATGACAGAAAAAGAATTGATGCCTTTGAGCTGTGGTGTTGGAGAAGAGCACTGAACATTCCATGAACAGCCAAGTGAACAAACAGATAGGTCTTGAAGAGGGTGCAGCCAGAGTGTTCTTTGGAGGCAAGAATGATGAGGTTTTGCCTCATTCTTTGGACATGTTGCTAGGAGAGGCTATTCCTTGCAGAGGGAAGATGTTGGGAAGGGTAGAGGATCGGCAAAGGAGAGGAAGACCCCAACCAGGTCGATTGACAAGGTGACTGCTACGGTGGGCTCTTGCGTGTCAGGAAGTGTGAGGATGGGGCGGGGCAGGACTAGGTTTAGTTCTTTTGTTCATAAGGTTGCTATGAGTCGTACTCAACTTGATGGTACACAACAACATGTTGTTAACAGCTTTAGTTTGCTTGGCTCCACAATCAACACTCTTGGAACCAGCAGCCAGGAAATCAAACGACAAATTACCTTGGGAAAGTTTGCTGTCAGGGACCTCTCCAGAACACTGAAGAGCAAGGATCTCAGTCTGGAGACTAAGACTGATCCAGGCCATAGTCTTTGCAATTACTTGCTGTGCATCAGAAAGCTGGACACTTGACTAGGGATGACAGAAAGAGAACTGATGCCCTTGAGCTATGATTCTGGAGAAGAGTGTTGAATATACCATGGACTGCTAGGAGAACAAACAGGCTCATCCTGGAGAGGGTAAAACCAGGCTGCTCCTTGGCGGCAAGGATTCTGAAGCTTCGTCTGACATACTTTGGGCAAGGAGACACCAGTCCTTGGAGAAGGACGTCATGCTTGGGAGGGTGAAGTGACAGCACAAGAGAGGAAGATCCTTGATGAGATGGATTGATTCAGTGACTGGGGTAATGGCGGTAGGTGTGTCAGAGACAGTGAGATTGGCACAGGATTCAGCTATTGTACATAGGGTCACTATGAGTTGTGACTTGGTGGTACATAACAGAAGCAACAATGTAACTCCTGAATTACAATGTCAAACCAAACCCTTATTGAATATTGCCTTTCCCTTCACCCAGTTTATCTAGTATTGAATCTATTTCACCTAATATTTGCTCTGCTTATTTGTGTAATCTCTTCCTTATCTCAAAAGAGATACACCCTACACTAATCCTGTCTCCTTGCCAAATGAGATTATAAACACAGGCACAGGTTACAATTTACAACACCTGTTTCTGGGGGACAGTTCAATCCATAGGACAGTGGATGAGGGAAGAATAATCCAAAACCAATATACGAGCAGGTATTACACATCTGACAACAATCTGGAACAAGAGGTGCATTGCAAAGTGGACTGTGGGAGGGGAGGGAAGAAAATGTGCAACAGTGAGTGAGTACAAAGTTAAACGATTACAATAAAACAACCCTGCGGAGGGGTGACACCCTTCCAGAGAGCTCCTGACCCATCTCGGAAGCTACTCTCACGGTTCATGGACAGAAAGTACTCTAGTATCCGGAAGGAGCCCTGGTGGTGTAGTGCATTAGTAACGTGTGCTGCTAACCAAAAGGTCACAAGTTCAAATCCATCTGGCGCTCTGTGGGTCAAAAAAATAGGAAGTGTCCTCTAGGAAGTGTCCTCTATGAAGACTTACAGCCTCAGAAACCCAGTGCAGGGTTGGTATGAGTCAGGAGCAATTCAACAACAGCGTCGGTGGAAGAGGCCAGACTGTACCACACAACCACATTCAACAGATGAAAGGCTCAGTTAGAGACAAAAGCAAATGACAGGCCTGGAGCCAGGAAGACGGGCAAGCTCTCAACCCAGGCTGGCAACTGTGCCGGTCAGGCCCTGTGAAGGACGCCAGCACTCAGTCTGGATTCTGACTGCTGCTTCCTAAGAACTGGGGCAAAGGAAGGCTCCATTTCTTCCTCTGAGGACTGAGGACCAGGACAGTACCTATCTCCTGGTCAGTGACTCACACCCATGTGGTCATCACCACCCTAGTCCACCGGCAGCCGCACTGCTAGCCCAAAGGCTGTGCCCCTCTGGGCCGTCTCCTCTCCTGTGACTTACAGCCTCTGAAACCTGCCAGAGGGTCGACTATGAGTCAGAACCTACACAACAAGGAAAACCTAAGTGAACTGAGTAACGAGAGTAAGAGGACCAAGAATATTGACCACACTGTCAAAAGAATAAACAAGTCTATCATAGAAAAAGCCCTGGCAAGCGCCACCGACAGGGAAGGAGGGTGAGACTTCATCCCATTATACTTTGGGCATATTGACAGGAAAATCCCAGAGGAAGCACACCGTGCTTGGCAAAGCAGAAGGTCAGTGAAAGAGAGGAAGGTCTTCACCAAGACCAAGTGACACAGTGACACCCACAGTGGACTTGAGCACAGCAGATAGTGAGGCTGGAACAAGGCCGAGCACAAGGACACGGATGCTATGAACCGGAGCTGATTCATGGGTGTTTAAGAACCACAACGAGGCCTCCTAGCGACACAGCAACAAAAGCACCTGGCTGCAAACCCAGAGGGTGGCAGTGAAACCCACCAGGTGCTCTGTGGCAGAAGGTGTGGCAGTGCGTTCCCATCAAGATTTACAGCCTTGGAAACTGTTTGCCTGCAGTCAGAATCAAATGGGCATACTGGGTTTCTTGTTGGGGTTTGGCTGCACTGTAGGAAGACCTTTCCCCTCATTACCCAGGGGCCTTCTTGCGTACCTCCTAGCCTGGGAACTCTGTCCCAAACCCAAGCACACCCCCACTGCTCCATCCAGTGCTTCAACCCCAGCAGCCAGGGCCCCTTCAATGTCTATCTTCCCCCCTTTCAGACCTGGAAGGGGGTTTTCCTCTAACTCAGTTTCCTCCTCCTCCAGACCACCATCCTCAGGCCTGGAGGGTGGAACCTACATTCAGCCCCCACCCTATGAGACCTTTACCCCAGTTAGAATCTGAGGTTACCCTTCTGCAGTGACACCAAACACTCACAGTACTGGGGTGATAAGAGCTTTTCAGGTGTATCAGGACCCTGCGAGGTCACAGATGGGCTTAGGGCACTCACTGCCCCCAAACACACGAGGAGACTGGCAAGTGGCATAGTCTTAGCGAGCTGCGCTGCACACTCAAAGGGTGCGCCTCTCTGTGGGTTCGAATCCACCAGCAGTACCCCCCCTAAGAAGGTTGGACAATCTCCTTCCTTGTGATTTACAGCTCAGGAAACCCAGCAGGGAGTCGGCTATGGGCTGGTACCTGCTCGATTAGCAATGAGTTTATGAATAACGGGGTCCTGGTGGCACAAAAGTTAAGGCGCTCAGCTAACTTCAAGGCCAGAGGCTGGAACGCAGCTGCGCTGCGGGAGAAATGTGTGGCAGTCTGCGTCCTTGGAAACAGCGTGGGACTGACTCTTCCCATAGGGTCTCTATGAGTAAGGGTGGATTTTAGGGCAGTGGGTGGGGCTTGATTTAGGAAAAGCAAATGAGGCCGTGGGAAGAAGACACATCCCCTGCTCCCATATGACCTCTTCTCTCTCCAGACTGCCCCCTGCATTCGCCTCATCCTTCCAGGGGGACCCTGCCCCATGCGCCTTGGCGACCTCCCCACCCCACTCCCCGCATTACCTTCTCGGGGCTCCGGCTCTGTGCCCCGGTAGCGGCCGGCGGCGCGGGCGTCCACCACCTGGAAGGTGCGGGACTCGATGTTCTCCTTGATGTCCTCGAAGGTCTTGACGAAGGCGGGGTCGAGGTGGGCGCGGAACTCGGCGGGCACCGGTTGGCTCTTGCCCGAGCTGAGCGGGAGGCCCAGGTGCTGCCAGTGGCGCAGGCCACCGTCCAGCAGCGACACAGCGCGGTGGCCGAAGGCGCGGAACATCCACCAGACGCGCGGCGCGGCGTACATGCCTTGGTCGCTGGCGTCGTAGACCACCACGTGCGTGTGCTCGCCCACGCCCAGGCGGCCCGCGTACTCGGCGAAGTGCGCCGCGCCGGGCAGCATGTGGTCGTAGGGAGACGTGCGGTCGCTGCACTGGTCCAGGTCGAAGAAGGCGGCGCCCGGGATGTGGCGGTCCTCGAACTCGCGGCGCGCGTCACGGCCCAGCTTGGGCAGGTACCACGAGGCGTCGAGCAGCTGCAGGGGCGACCCCGAGCGTGGGGCGCGCAGAGCCTCGGTCACCCACTGAGCTGACACCAGCGCGCGGAAGAGCTGCTGCGAGGCCATGGCTGTGGTGGTGGTGGCGGCGGCCGCGGAGGTGCTTGGGCTGCGGGACTGCGTGACAAGGCAGGTGTCAGGAGGGACAGGAGGGAGAGGCGGCTCTGGGGGGCGGGACATGCCCTCGCAGCTGGGGCAGGGCCAGTGGGGGAGGTGGAGCCCCAGAGGGCAGAGTCCACCCAGGGCAGACACCTGGCTGTGATGACCCCAGGGCGCCCCCACCAGGAATTGGGTGTGAACACAGCACCTGGTGACCAAGTACCTGGACCTCTATGTGTGGGGGGCCAAGCAGCTCCTTGGGTAGTTGCAGGGTCCCAATCTTAGAAGCCCTGATGGTACTTTGGAGCAAGACAGAAGGGACAGAGAGCAGCCCTAGCCTCTTACCAGGGTGCAGCTCAACTGCTTCTGTCCACAAACCAAGGCGCATTTGGCCACCCACTTACTCGTTCAGCATTTCTGTACACATCCCAACAGTTGCTGGCATTTACTGTGGCCTTGCTAAACCCAACACACTTCTCCCACTGCGGCTGAGTGGATGCTGACACGAGGAGGCGCTGTAGGTCAGAGTGCAAACCCCACAGGGTTTCCAAAGCTGTAAATCTTTATGGAAGCAACACCTTCCCTCTCTGAAGGCTTTCTGTGGTTGTTAAGTGCCCTGCAGAGTATGACTCAGTGACCCCCGAGAACAACAGATCTGAACCCTGCCCACTTCTGTGACATCCTCGCCATCTCTGACACACTTGACCCCGTGGCTGCAGTCACCACGTCAATCTATCTGGTTGACTATCTTCTGCTCTTTTGCTGACTTTCCCCTTTCCCACGCATGACGTCCCTTTCCAAGGAATAGCCTCTCCTAGCAACATACCCAAAGTATGAAGCTGTGTCGTCTTTGCCTCCAGGGAACACTCTGCACTTTCTCCAAGACATATCTGTTTGTTCTTTTGTAGTTAGTGGGATACACAGTACTCTTCTCCAACACCACTGCTCAGTTCTTTTTTCTGTCATCCTTATTCACTGTCCAGCTCTCAGATGCATAGCAAGTGATTCAAAGGACCATAGCCTGAATCAGTCTTCAGACTGATATCATTGCTCCTTAGTACTGTGGAGAGGTCCCTGACTGCAGACTTTCCCAATGCAATATGTCTCCTGATCTCCCGACTGCTGGTACCCAGAGTGCTCCTAGGTGACATTTAATGTTCACGCTGGTCACACTTTGAGTCCTCAGTTATTTGTTGAGCAAACCCTAGAGATCTGGAACAATTCTCCCTTTTCACAGGTGAGGACACTGGGGATTTTCACTAAATTGACTGAGGTCAACACAGCTTATAACTCAAATCCAGACCGTTCACCCACATGCATGGTGGGGGGCTGGAAAGTCCAGCAAGGCCGGGTGTAGCCCTTCTAACTTGAGCTTTCTCTGCTCTTCCAGCAGGAACAATATGACTTGAAGCCTCATGTCCCTTCTTGTCACTGTTCCTGCTGGACAGGGGCCAACCGTGCATTTGACCAGCGTCGTCACCGAACCACCACGAGTCCTCAGTCACAGCCTTCCACGGCCCTTTGCTGGGTAGCACTAATCCATGCAGTGCCTTTGTGCACGTTACAGAAAAACACTCATTGGGCTTCCACAAAGAATTACAGCCTTGTAAACTACTGGTCCCAGGAGCCCCCACACCCTCCACAGCCCCAGGCACCCTCACCTTGGCTTAGTGCCCACACTCCCCAGTTTAACACCAGCTGTTGTTGTGTGCCATCAAGTTAGACCCAATCCATAGCTGACCTTCTAGTGGGTTTTCAGAGGCAGTAAATTGTGTGGGAGCAGATGGCCCATCCTTCTCCCATGGAGTAGCTGGTGGATTTGAATCGTGTCCCTTTGGGGATGCAGCACAGCTTCTTACCACTAGGCCACCAGAGCTCCCTCATCACCAGCGGGTCCTCAGGAATTTACCTTGCCCATGTGGATACTCGTAAACTTGACCAAGCCCTGCCCTCAAGGAGCCCTTGTTCTGGGAGGGAGACAGAATGTGGTTCTGCTTTAGGGTCAAAGCAACTGAGGAGCCCTTCAAGCTGATGGCCCCCTCCCTGATACAACCTGAGCTCAGGGCTGGGAAGGCTTCCTGGTGGAAGAGGAGGAGGTGTAAACTGAATTGACCTTTGACTAAGGGGACCCAGGGGAATAAGGAGGCAGATATGTGTGTGTGTGTGTGTGTGTCTGGGTTTCTTCACTGTTGGACAATGCCAGGGACCGGCAGGCTTCTTGGAGACCCCACCAGTGAACCACAGCAGACCCTGGCTACCCTGTTCTTGGGGCTCCTTTCTTTTTCCCTCCAAGGTTTACTTGGAATGGAAACCCCAGTTTTGGGTGTCAGAGCTCTCCTAAGTCAATAGGAAGCCCACTCCACCACTTAATTCATGTTTGATAGTGGGAACATTAAACTCCCTGACCCGCTTCTTCTAAAGATTCTGTGATAAGTGTTAAGAGGACGCCTTGAGGCAAACTGCACGGGGCTGGCTTGCCTAAGTATTCAGAACGGTTTCATGACTGTCCAATATTTCTTCACATTTACTCTGGCACATGGCCTTTGAACTGGCAACAATAAATCGAGAATCTTCAGGACTGACAGTGTGGGACTGAGAGGGCTTCAGAGGGTTTGGGAGGCAGGCTGTGTGTATTAGTCCCTGTTCCCTGCTGTATGCAGGGAAGGCCAGGACCATCTCAGGAGGAGGTCTCTAGGAGTGGAGGACCTCAGTCCCGGTGCCTCAGAGTCAGTTCTGCTCAAGGGTTTCCATTGCCTGATCCCCGTGGCTCCCATAGCAAAGCAAAAAGAAGGTTTAGAAGATTCTCTGGGTTGCTATTTCTCTGAGTATTAGTGTTTGCAACTTCCTGGGAGGATAGAATGATTGCAGAATAAACAAGGCTTGGAGCCCTCTGTTCATAGTGACCCACCATCGGACTGTTGAGGCAGTAAATCTTCACGGGAGAAGACTGCCCATTTTTCTCCTGGGCCCTGCTGATCTCTCGGTTAGCAGCCCATTAGCTTACAGGTCTAAGAAAAGCCTCCCAGGTATCCAAAATGATGGTCTTACTCCCACTGCCTTGCAAGTGCCAATTGTTAAATTCTTAATTACCAGCTGTCTGTTAAACAGCCATTGTTCAACACTATAATTATGTAGTGTTAAAGAAAACAAAGAGAATCCAAGAGTCAGGCTTCACACCAGCCTAGAGCTCCAGCGATGACAGTAAACAAAGGTAGCTGGGGACACGTGGGCCCCGAAGTCCAGTCCCAAAACACATGCACCCCGTGTCTCCTGGACCGGACGTCTCCCGCTGCGTGCAGAGTGGCGCTTCTGGTCTACCTCACAGGGCTGCTGCAGAAACTTAGGTTAATTCCCCTTGACAGGATCAGCAAAATGTCAGTGGAGCAGGCCCTCAATGCCAGTTCTGTTTCCTTTTCAGAAGTTCTTTGCCAGTTTTTTCTCCAGGCCCCTGGGTTAATCCGGCCTGCACCTCCCTGACTTCTCTGTCCAGTTTTATGAGCGCCCCCTCCCTCTCGTGTGGCGCCAGTCACCCCCACTCCCACCCACCGCTCCCCACCCTGTTCCACGAGGAGTGAGCATACCACCCTGCAGTCCCGGGTCAACAGATCCCCCGGGCGAACTGGGGTGCGCGCCCTCCCTCCAGGTCTGCAGCCCTATCCTCTGCTTAGGCCCACCGGCCTCCCCAGAGCCGGATCACTGAGCCGCGTACCCCAAAGAGCGACCTCCCCCTAAAGCAAGCGCGCGCACGCGCAGCCGCCGCGGTTACCGGGCTCGCAGGCTTCCGGCTCCCCGGCTCGGCCATGGCCCCGCAGCTGGGCGCCCCCTCCCCGCACCCTCAGCTGTCAACCCTCCCTTCACCAACCTGCGGCCAGAGGGAGGAGACTGGGGCACAGCCCACCGCCGCGGCCACTCGGCGCTGCCGCTGCCCGCGCCTTCCACCGGCTGGGCCCGGGGGACCGGCGCGCCGCGCAGCCGGGCCATGCACCGTGCCTGCGCCCCTCGGAGCTCCCTGGGAGCCCCCCGGAAGCCGGAGAGGCGCCGGTCGCCGAGGGGAGGCCGAGGCGCGGGAGGCTGGGCGGTGGGAGGCGCGGGGCGGGGGCGAGCGTGCGCAGTTCCCCCTGTGCCGGCTGCGCAGTGGTGCCGGCCGGCCGGGGAGCTGCGGGCTCCGGGTTTGAAAGGGCCAACTTCTCCGGCGGCGGGGCGGGCGCCAGCGCGGAGGCGAGGCGAGTGAGTGCGGCGGCGGGGCGGCGGCCAGACACCTGTGGCCCCAGGGGAAAGTTCTGGCGGGGAGAGCGGGGCGGAGTGGCGCGGTGGCCCGGGAACCCCTGGCCCAACTGGGACACAGGGCGGCGAGCTGGGGCTGGACGCGCACACTCTGAGGGCTGGCGAGCGCACGCTTGTTGGAGGCTTCCAGGAGGGTTTGCAGAGAGACGCAAGCTACGGATGGGGTGCATTGGGGGAATCCTTCACCTTTACTCCTATACGCCCACCCTCTGCTCTCTCAGGAAAAGAGATCCACAGGCCAAGATGCCCTCCCCTCCCACCTGGGCATCTTCTCTTTTCTTGGCAGGATTCAGACAGCCACTATTGCAGTTTCTAGGGAACAGAACCCCAAAGTAGAACCAGCTCTGTAAGCAAATTAGAACCCTAAGCAGCTCGTGCACCACCCTTCAGCTGCAGCCCCCTGGTCTGGTTAGAGGGGCGGAGATGGTCTTCCCTGGGGAGCCTGCTTGCTTCTCCCGCTGCTTGCATAGTGCTCCCTTGTTGCTATAAACATGACACCCCAAGGGGAGCGGGGTGGGGAGAACAGGGCCAGCTCCTCCTCCAGGCCCCACCCCAAAGTACACACTACCCTCTTCACGCCCCTCTCTTCTTCCTCACTCCCCACTAGCCAGCTGACACTCCTCTGAGATCATGGCTCAGCAGATGCTTTACCGCGCTCTGGTCTCCACCAAGTGGCTGGCGGAATCCATCCGGGCGGGCAAGCTGGGGCCGGGCTTGCGGGTGCTTGATGCGTCGTGGTACTCCCCGGGTACCCGAGATGCCCGCAAGGAGTACATGGAGCGCCATGTACCTGGCGCCTCTTTCTTTGATATTGAGGAGTGCCGGGACAAGTCTTCACCTTACGAGATGATGCTGCCCAGCGAGGCGCACTTTGCCAACTATGTGGGCCACCTGGGCATCAGCAACAGCACGCATGTGGTGGTGTATGATGGCGACCAGCTGGGCAGCTTCTATGCGCCCAGGGTCTGGTGGATGTTCCGTGTGTTTGGCCACCGCACCGTGTCGGTGCTCAACGGGGGCTTCCGGAACTGGCTGAAGGAGGGCCACCCGGTGACATCTGAGCCCTCAAACCCAGAGCCAGCCACCTTCAAAGCCACCCTGGACCCTTCCCTGCTCAAGACCTACGAGCAGATGATGGAGAACCTCAAATCAAAGAGGTTCCAGATGGTGGATTCAAGGGCCGAGGGGCGCTACCTGGGCACTGAGCCAGAGCCAGATACAAAAGGTAGGTGTCCTGGTGGTGGGTGGTCCGTGGGGAGCATCACCAACACAAGGAGCTGGTGGATGGGTAGGAAGGATGACTAGGATGCTCCCCACATGTGGGTCTCAGTCTTTTCATCTGTAAAATGAGAGAGCAGAGCCCAACTCAGGGCTTTTTCAGCCCTGATGTATGAGGGTCTACAAGTGATCCCATTGACCCATGCCAATAAATGACACAGAGTGTGTGTAGGGTGACATTGGCAGAGGCAACAGGTGATGTCCTAGATGGTACCAAAGGGCATCACACCTATGACCCAATCCAGACATCACCATCCAAAGGTCGCCTGAGGACACACCCACCTTCTCAGGGCAACACTACTCCGGGAACACCTTTTAGACTCCAACTGCGGAACCCCTTCCCTCCACCCAGCCCACTTGGGCCCCTGATGGGGGTTTTCAAAGGCTGCTGAGTTGAGCAACGTAGCCCCTGTGCAGGGCGGTAGCAGCTGGCATTGCATGCTAAGCGCTGGCGCTCCATCTTCTCATCCAATGAGGTGTGTTACCCCCTTTGTGAGGGGGAGATAACTGAGGGGTTGATGTAATGTGTAGGAACCTAAGTTGCTTGTTCAATAGCAACAGAACTAGGATCTGAACTGAGCACCTGCCATTGCCAAGTCTCAATGCTTGTACTCTAAACCAGGATGGGACACCACCTCTGCTCCATCACAGTCTCCATGAATGGAGGGAATCTCCTCCACTGGACACCCCCAGGCTCTCAGCCTGTGGATGAAGGGAGGCAGGGAGAGGCCTGAGGGAGAGAAGGGCATCAGGAGAGGTGAAGCAGACCTGAACGTGTGGATTAAGGGGGGTACAGAGGTTCTGCTGTCCTAGACCAGGACCCCTCTCCTGGCCATCACTCCTGCGAGGTGCTCTGCAGCCCTGCTTGAACCCCTCCCCAGATGATCTCTCTGTTCAGCCTGAGGCCACCGGCTGGCCCTGAGCTGCTGTGACAAATGCCCTCTTCCCTCCAGAACTCGGGGAGCTAATTTCTGTGCAACATTTTGCCTAGTTTGTTAAAAAATCTTTCTTCCTTTTTGTGCTTGTGAGAGAGAGAAGAATGTAGAAGCCATTTCTAGTGTTCTGAAAGCAGAAAGGCCTAAAAGGTCACCTCAAGACGCAGAGGGGAGACTGAGGCACAGGGAGGAAGAGGCGGTTAAGGCCTCTGGGCCTGGCCCTCCCTGGCCCTCTCTGTTTGTTTGGTTTTGCCCTCGCCCCCTGCTTGTCTTATCCGGCTCTTAATCCCTGACTACCTAGATTTCAAGATCCCACTGTTCATTTGACACTTTCCAGGATGTCAGCAATGCCCACTTGGCCTGGGTTCAAGACGTATTCCTTTCAACAAAGATTCAAAAGAGAATCCTTTGCCTGGAAGCTGCCACCGCAGGCAGACATGGTTGAATTGGTGCTCTAATTGCTTCCCCAACTGTCTGGAAGCAGACTGAAAAATGAGTGAAAGGGAGGTTTTCAGATGGGCAGGCTCAGCCTTTGTACTCCCATTTCTCAGATGAGGAAACTGAGGTTCAGAGAGGGGAAGGAGCCTGCTGTGGATGGTGCTGTAAAAGACCTGGGTCAGAAGCCCCTCTCTCCTCTCTGGGGCCATCCTCCCACCTCATCCACGTCCCTCTGGGGCACTGGAGAGCATGAAGTCTAATTTTAGCTCAGCCTCTCCTTGTGTGAAATCTAATTCTTATCTTCCTTATTAGAAATGAGAAGACAGTGTTCAGCCCTGCCCACCTTCCTCCCTGGTCTGTATTTGTTCAACCACAGCAGTGGTTGGGGGAAAAAAAACCCACCTCCTTGATCTGTGCCAAGGATCAAGTGTCAAGAACTCTGGAAAGACAGTGGGTAGCGCTCTCCCCTCCCTCAGTCTAAGAGCTAGGCCACCTTTTGTGGGTCCGTGTTCACTGCTCCCAGCTGAGGGAGGGCTGGGGCTTGGGGCATCCCTTGTGGATTTAGCATGAGGAAACCCACAGGAGAGGGTAGGTGGGCCCAGGCCTTGGTCTAGAACTTGCATAAGCAACTTCCTGTGGTCTCAGTTTCCTGTCTCTAAATACCCTTAGTCCTCTTTGCAAGGGGCATACTGTTAGATAGAAAGAACACTGAGGGCAAGAGAGAGGAAAGAAGCTGCTCCCAAGAAACGAACAGGAGTTTATTGGGAGTTCTGAGAGGGACTGCACGTGGAGATCAAAACTATGCACAGGAAGCTGGGGTGGTTTCTTTTATAGGGGTTTTAAGGAGGACTAGGGAAGATGGTATTTTGCTCGGAATTAGGGACTGTGAATTAACCTGGGCTTGGGCTTTTGTGATTCGGCCCAGGGCCTTCTCAGGATCTATGGTCTGCTCTGGGCTTTGGTCTGGCCTCTATCTGGTCGCCTTCGACATAAGGTTGCTTCAAGGAGTGATGAGGCCTTGGAGCCGTGGCAACCTTCTTGACCTTCTCGCCCCTACACCTGGGTTGACATCCTGCTTGGTGTCTGCATGGGAGTTTATGTTTGGTTGTTCATATCAAGGTGGATGGTTTGCACACACCAGCGGAAGAAATGCCTGGTGAGCGGCTTCTGTGATGATTACGGCCCAGAGAGCCCCATGGAGCAGTTCTCTCTGTCAATACTGAGAGTCCCTAGTTCAGAACTGCCTGGTTTGTTTTGGTGCCACTTAGGGATGGCTGCGGGTGAGCCCCTTTGCCTCTGAACTGAACCTTCAAGGAGAGCCTATCTGGAGGAAGAGTCTCTGCAAAGTCAGCCCCATTTCCTTTAGGTGCTCTTTTCTTTTCCCCGTCCTCCAAGCCAGCGGTTGAAACCCACCAACTGTTCCCTCCAACAAAAGCTAAGACAAAGCCCTCCCAATAAGATTTAGTCTCAGAACCCCAAGGGGACATTGACAGTGCAGGAGATTGGATTAGGGTTGGGGAGGGAGAAGTGAGGATATTGAAGAAGGATATTGTCCCTTGTTGTTTTGTACCATGGAGTGAGGACGACTCACAGCTGACTGACCGTAATGGGTTTGGGGAGCAGTAAATCACAGGGTTCTCTGGTGGCCTAGTGGTAAGAAATCACTCTGCAATCTCAGATATACACAGTTCGAATCTGCCAGCTACTCCGTGGGAGGAGCCTGGGCAGTTTCCTCAAGTGTGATTAACTGCTTCTGAAAACCCGCTGGAGGGTCAGCAATGGGTCGGTTCCAACTTGATGCTACTCAGCAACAGTGAGTCACACAGGAGGAGACTGCCCGTCTTTCTCTCACGGAGCAGCGGGTGGGTTTTGAACGGACCACCATTTGGAGGCTGCGCAGTGAAGCTTTTATTTGCAGAATCCTTGACAGCAAAGCCAGGTCAGAATCACTCCCACGCTGCAGATTAGGGAGATCAAGAAGAAACTTCTGGTTCTACAGAATGGCCAAGACTTGCCTCAAGGGGGTCAGCAGGCTTCAAAGGCAGCAGTTTGCCAAGGCTGGTGCTGTGGGTGGACTGAGCCAGTATAAGTAGGTCACTTGGGAAAGGGTCACTCTTCTGCCCCCCCCCCCCTTGAGTTCCCTGCGCTGCCTGTGACCCTCCCTTTCCTGGGCTGGGGGCAGGGCAGGAGAGCACTGGGGTGGGAGGAAAGCAAACCAAGAGCCAGTAGGCTTTTCTTGGCCTTGAAAGGCTGCATCTCCCGCTGGCTGATAGAGCGCTCCACCTTAATAAAGCCAGAGCATAAAATTCAGATCTGAGGGGCACAAGAGCATGAGAGATGGTCTAGTCCATTTTCCTGTTTTAGTTCCCTTTTCTCTAAAGGTCCTGGGGGCAACAAGACACAGGCTTTGTGACTGGACCGAACTGAATGACAGAATTTACCACCCCTTGCTAAAAGTGACCTGGGACAAATTACCACCTCCAACCTCTATTAGCATTAGGAGGCTAATCTCTCAGCTTTGTGACTAAAAGAGATAGTTCTTGAAAGAACCTGTGGCCAAGCTTCCTCTCAGTGCCAGAGGTTAGAACTGCGGGAGCCCCAGTGGAGGAGGGAAAGTCCTGGTTGGCTTGAGAGGCTGGATTTAGGAGCCGAGGAGGAAGCCTGCATCTTCCAGTGTGCTTCCTCTTGCTGACCCTTCTCCAAGGTTCCCTGGTCCAGCTTCATCCTGTCCTGCTGCTGTGGGGTAGTTAGCTCTCTCTCATTTGGATTCCTCAGACCTGCCCTGAGCCCTACCCGGGCACTGAGCCAGAGTCCCAGGGAGGAAAACGGGGACAGTCCCACCTCCTAAGGCTGACTCTGTGGGGGAGGCTGCAGTCAAGAGAGGCCCTCCAACTGTGCTTGCATCGTAATTGGGATGTAAATAGAAGAGGCACATTTATATAATCAGAAGAAAACAATGAAACTGTAGTAAGGGGGTGGAGAGAGAAAGAAAACCACATTCAGAATGCCAAACACTCCGAGCTTTTAAATCCAGCGCCCTGCCCCAGGGCTGGAAATGCTGTCACCTCCAATCCCTTGGCCAGGAACCCTCTTGAAGCTCACAGATCACTGGTTTCTCCTTTGATAGGGTCAGTGCACTTTGGATTCAAGTTTCCGGATACAAAGATGAAACTGTGACAGGAAGGAATTGCTGTAATTTTATAAATTGGGACATTTGTTCTAGGAGAAGAACTCTCAACTTGTTTGAGAGACTTTTGGAAACCTCTCAGGGGAGAGAGGAGGCTGGGATCTTGTTGATATTTCTGTGCACCAAAAATGTGCTGGAGAGTCGGTTCTGGGTCAATTTGGGCTCCCTGCCACAAACAGCTAGGTCCTTCTACTGATAGTGCCGCTTCCTGGCGGCCTGTGGTGCACACGGAGTTATCCCCTCACCTTGCTTACAGGGCCACGCAGGTCTCAGGTGCAGGACTGCCTGGCTGGCACTGCTGCTTGGGGCTCGCCCCTTCTGCTTCTCCCTCCCACTCTCTCCTGGCCCAGGTTCATCCAGGTGGTGAGGATGTGAGGAGGAAAGTGG